AGGTTGGCCCAGGATCGGACATTGTTTCATTCTGCTGTGCATGGGGTCGCTATGAGTCGGTTCCGACTCGATGGCACCTGACAACAACAACAAGGCAGCACTGGAGGCTGCATCATCTATGCCAAGAAATTTGGAAGACAACTACCTGGCCAAGTGACTGGAAGGTATCTATATTTGTGTACATTTTAAAATCGAGGCGACCCAACAGAATGCAGAAATCATAGGATATTATCTTTAATATTGTATGGAAGAAAAATCTGACTCAACACAAAAACAGCTGCAACCATACATTGACAGGGAACTGTCAGAGGTTCAAGCCAGATTCAGGAGCGGATGTGGAACAATAGATATCACTGCTGACGCGACATGGATCTTGGCTGAAAAGTAGAGAATACCAGAAAGACTACACAATGGCTCTCAATTGTGTGGATCATGACAAACTATGGATAATATTGCAGAGAATAAGTGTCCTGGAACACTTAATTGTGCTCATGAACAACCTGTATATGGACCCAGAGGCAGTTGTTAGATAAGAACAAGGGAACACTGGATGGTTTAAAATTCGCAAAGGTATGCGCCAGTTGTATTCTTTCAGCATATTTATTCAATCTGTATGTTGAGCAAATGATCAAAGAATCTAGATTATATAAAAAAGAATGTGGCATCAGGATTGGAGGAAAACTTGTTAACAACCTGTGATACACAGATGATACACAACCTTGCTTGATGAAAGTGAAGAACACTTAAAATACTGATGAAGATCAATTTAAATGGTTGTGAGGACAGTGAGAGAAGTGGGGAATTTGAAACATGTGTTAGAAACAGAATCGACAGGACTTGGTAACCAATATGGATATAAAGAGTAAGCATTATAAAATGACTCCCGAGGGAAAGTGTGCAGCAGATAGTGAAGCAGCAAATGAGTAAAGGGAGCCCTAAAGATAGAAACAAAATAGCTGAGTCTTTTCTTAGGAAAACTCCTTTCCTCTACGCCAGCCCTCTTGCCTATAGGACTACCCTGAAACCGGCCTCCAGAGCTGTTCCTTTCTCTCTCGTCATCTCTGAACCCACAGGAACCTGAATGCATCAAGGTTTGCTTTTCTATAACACCTCCCATAGCGGAAGAAACAGTATCACCTGCCCTAGTTAGAGGAAGCATAGCAGATCACACATTTTAAAAATCACTCTGTGATTTTCTACACAGAGAAGACTCTGGAGAAAGTTGAAGAAGGAAATGTGGGGTATGGAGGAGGACACAGGAAAACAGCCCTTGTTTCACTCTTGTTCCCAGACGACAGTGACAATTTTAATTATTTTTCTAGTTGAACACTGTGACTTCAGATTTAATTTAGAAGTAGTAGTAGCTTTTGTTGTTGTTGTTCAGTGCCACAGAGTCAGTTTTGATTCATAACAACCTTGTATAGGGTTTCTGAGACTGTAAATAATTACAGGAGCAGAAAGTCTCATCTTTCCCCTGTAGAGCAGCTGATGGATTCCAACTGCTGACCCTGTGGTTAGCAGCTGAATGTGTAACCCGCTACACTACTAGGGTTCCTTTTAATCTAGTAGTGCTGAACTTAAAAGTGATCTTGTTGATGATTTTAGCATCAACAAGTACATAGCTGTGATTCACAAAGATCAAATAAGACACATGCCTTTGTAGATAGATACTTACTGTTGAAACCTCCAGTAGCATGAAGGCCAAGGTCAAAGAGTTGTGAAGGAAGAAATCCCGAAGAATGAGCAAGAGGCTCAGATCCAACAGAAAGTTCCTGGGACATGGGACTGGCATTAGGGCTCCCAAATTCAGTCTGGCATTCTTGGGTACATTCATTGGTACTTGAAGAACCAGGACTTAGGAGATTGTTCAGAAAAGAAAACTCTTTTTCATAATCCTCTCTCTCCAATGAGTCCACAAGGAGATCTTTTGCAACTATTGAGTGAAGATACAAGCAGAAACATTTTTCTTTTCTTTCTGAGGAAGTAATAGTAGGGCAAATAAAATTTGCTTCATTGCTGTCATATCTATTAACACAATTTTTAATGAGACACTAAATTGAAAGCCTATATGAAAAGTTATTTCTAATTTGATGGGATAAAGATTGACATCACCATATTCATAACAGTTAGGACACCACTTATCGACAGTTTGCAGTACAATGGAGGTTTGAGAGGGGCTATGATTCAGGAAGCTAAGCCATGGGTATTTTAAATACCAGCAGGGTCACACATGGTAGACAGGTTTCAAGATGAGCTTCCAGACAAAGACAGACTAGGAAGAAGGAGAGACGAACTACTTCTGAATATTTAGTCACTGAAAACCTTATGAGTAGCAGTGGAACACTATCAGATATAGTGCCAGAAAATGAGCCCCTCAGGTTGGAAGACACTCAGAATGCGACTGGGGAAGAGCTGCCTCCTCAGTGTAGAGTTGACCGTGATGACGCAAATGTAGGAAAGCCCGTGAGAGTAAAGTCCTCAGGACCTTCATTTGCTGATGAGGCACAACTCAAAATGAAGAGAAACAGCTGTAAACATCCATTAATAATCAGAACATGGAGTGTAAGAAGTATGAATCTGGGAAAATTGGAAATTGTCAAAAATGAAATGGAATGCAAAAACATTGATATCTTAGGCATTAGTGAGCTGAAATGGGATGGTATTGGCCATTTTGAATCTGACAACTACATAGTTTATTATGCCAGGAATGAAAAATTGAAGAGGAATGGTGTTGCATTCACTGTCAAAAAGAACATATACAGATCAGTAATGAGGTACAACACTTTCTGTGATAGGATGATATCCATGCACCTAGAGGGAAGACCTGGTAGCTTCAAGGTCAGCAGTTTGAAACTACCAGCGGTTCCACGGGAGAAAGATGAGGTGTTCTGCTCCTGTAAAGATTTGCAGCCTCGGAAACCCTGTGTAGGGTCACTATGAGTTCGAACCAACTCCATGGTACTTAACAACAACAGGGAAGACCAGTTAATACCATTATTATTCAAATTTACACACCAACCACTAAAGCCAGTGAGGATGAAATAGAAGAATTCTACAAACTTCTTCAATCTGAAATTGATCAAACATGCAATCAAGATGTATTGATCATTACTGGTGATAGGAATGCAAAGTTGGAAACAAAGAGGAAGGATCAGTACTTGGAAAATATGGCCTTGGTGATAGCAATGATGCAGGAGATTGTATAACAGAATTTTGTAAAACCAATGATTTATACATTTCAAATAAATTCTTTAGACAGCGTAAGAGATGACTATATACATAGAAGAGATGACTATATACATAGACCTCACCAGTTGTAACACACAGAAATCAAGTTGACTATATCTGTGGAAAGAGAAAGTGCAAAAGCTCTATATCCTCAGCCAAAACAAGGCCACAGGCAGATTGTGGAATAGACCATCACTTCCTTATATGCAAATTCAAACTGAAGCTGAAGAAAATGAAAACAAGTCCACGAGAGCCAAAATATGACCCTGAATATATCCCACCTGAATTTAGAGACCATCTGAAGAACAGATTTGATACATTAAACACTTAAGACTGAAGACCAGAAGAGTTGTGGGATGACATCAAGAATATCATACAGGAAGAAAGCTATAAGTCATTGAGAAGTCAAGAAAGAAGTTAAAGATCAAAATGGATGTCAGAAGAGGCACTGAAACTTGCTCTCCAATGTAGAGATGCTAAAGCAAATGGAAGAAATGAGAAGGTACAAGAGCTGAACAGAAAATTTCAAAGGTCAGCTCAAGAAGACAAAGTCAAATATTACAACGAAATATACAAAGATCTGGAGTCAGAAAACCAAAACGGAACACACTCAGCATTTCTCAAGCTTGGGAAACTGAAGAAAAAATTCCAGCCTCAACTTTCATTATTGAAGAATTATCTGAGCAAATTACTGAATGATGCAGAAAGCATCAAAAGAAGATAGAAGGATGAGCACAAACAAGATGGTGGAGAGGGTGGAAGTGCAGTGAGGAGCTCCATCAGCAGCAACAAAGAATACTGGACCAAGCAGGCTCAGGGGATAGTGCCAGAACTCTGAACCACATATAAAGGATTTAGAAGGTTGGAAGGCTTACAACTAGAGAAATTTATAGCAGAAGCAAGAAATCCATTGCTTTCTAATTCAAGACACTCAGCTGATCCCAGAGCCACTATCTTGGGCGAGACCAAGCAGGGGAAGGATCACAGCAGCCACGGACTCTTGACAGACTGTGGAGATAAAGGTGTGGACATTCTTTTGTTTTGTTTTTTTCTGGTATCTGTTCATTGGTCTCTCACTGTCTGCGCACTTCCATTCTGGTGACTATAGGGGGTGCCTGAGTGAGTGGAACCTCACTCCCACTCCCAGAGGGTTCTACTACATATGTGTATAGATCTCCTCGAAATTTAAAGCAACAGTTTTCACTTAAAACCAAATGGCAGTGAAAAAGGGCCACAGCCAGCCTGGAATTATTTATCATTTGGGAAAAAGCCTGAAAGGGGATTGTGGAATGGGACAGGCTAAAAGGGAAACAGGCTGAAAATTAAATCCAGAGTTACGTCACAATCACGAACAGTGACATCTTGAATTTTTCAGGAAGAAGGGATGCCCATATCCTGATTACATCTACCTGGAGGCAATTAAGGCCACAGATAACTCCTGAATATGCCCAAAAAACAGGAGCAGATGACAATATTAGCATATGTCCAGAAACGAGATAAAGTGACTGAGGCAAATGAGCTGGAAGTAGACCTACACTCCATACTGGAAGATGGGCAGGCTTTGGAAATGCCTGAGAAGGAATTCAGAAAAATGATTATAAAATGTAACAAAACACTATACAATGGAGTTGAGAAAAATCAGAAGTCAGGAAAGCGCTACAGGAACCATCAATAAAATAGATACAGCAATGGAAACAATTCAGAACCTACAGAATGAGATCCAAACCATTAATAATAGAATATCAAAAATGGACAATACACTGAAAAAGCAAAGGAGTAGAATCAAAGAGTTAGAAGCCAGAACTACTGAGCTAGAAGATAAATCTCTCAACACTACTAAGACAGAAGAGCAAACACAAAAAAGAATTTTAAAAAAATCTGAAGAAGGCTTAAGATTCACATTGGACAACATAAAGAGTAATAACATAAGAATTATCTGCATTCCGGAACAGGAAGAATCACACAAGTCATCTGCATTCCAGAACAGGAAGAATCACACAAGTCCACAGAGGAGATAGTTGAAGAGCTTCTGGAAGAAAATTTTCCTAACATCGTGAAAAGTGAAAAGATAAGCATTCAAGAAGCTCAACGAACCCCAGGAAGGATAAACCCTAAAAGAAAATCACCAATACATATAATAATCAAGCTCTCCAAAATCAAAGATGAGGAGAGAATCCTGAAAGTAGCTAGGGAAAAGAGAAGTGTAACATACAAAGGCAAGCAAATCAGATTAAGCTCAGATCTATCAACAGAAACCATGTAAGCAAGAAGGCAATGGGGAGACATATATAAAACTCGGAAAGAAAAAAAAACTGCCAACCAAGAATCCTCTACTCAGTAAAGCTGTCAATCAAATACAAGGGTGTAATCAAAACATTCCAGGATAAACAGAAGTTAAGGTATTTTGCCAAAGCCAGCGCTGCGATGAAAAACATCCTAAAGGAAGTTCTGAGGATTGAGAACCAACAAGAACAGACAACAACCAGAGAATGACGTATGTGGCAGCATCACCCTGAACTCAATCAACAAATGGAAGAGTCAAGAACAAAATAAAATGATAAGAACAGAGGATCCAGGAGGTCAGTCTATGATCAAAACATTTACAATATGAAAGAAGATAAACACAGAGGAACAGAGATCCAGGTGGTGGGAAGGTCAGGTAGATTACAGGATAAAATAAACTGTCTTAAATGAAGGGAAGAGTTAATAGAATATAAGATAACCACAACAGTGGGTATGGGTGGGAGGTTTAGTTCAGGAGTTGGAGAGGGCAATACAAGAAGGAGGAGGAGGCAGAAGAACAAGATAGATAGGGGAACGTTGAGAGGTTTGCATGGCCTAAGAGGGACAGACGTAAATAGTGATGCATGCTCACCTTTGGAACAAGAGGGCTCTGCGATACAGGGATCTAGGCATAGTTTGAAGAGGGGAAATAATAGTAAAATGTTTGACTGTCTTATGAATATTGGTTTCCCTTGCCTACTATTGTAAAATTGTACTATTGTGTGGGATAGAAAGGAATGTTGGGAAACATGATTACAGAAAAATTGTAAGCTGACTTTAGCCAATAACTGATTAGAATACCTAAAAGGGGTTCTAGAACTAGCCCAGTGAAATAGACCTCTTGCAAAGCCTTTGCAGAGTATTGGACCTAACGTGGAATCCTGAGTCCCATCCAGAACCTTCTGAGGTGGGACATCCCCACTAGAAAGAACAAGCAGTCCAGCCTGGAATAGCTACAGTGACAGAAGATACATTTTCAAAGAAAGATCATCAGGAAAAATGCAAAACAAAAATGTCAGCATGACTGCCAATACAAGAATAAGCAAGCAGTTCGCCAAGAAGCCATCAAGGCAAGCAATCAAGTTCTTACAGGACAAACCCCCCTCTAAGTTTGGAACTCAAAGGGAACACATGAGCAGGCATGTAAGCTTGTTGGAGACCACATTGGGCTACTGGTGAGTGAAGAGGGGGAAAGACAGCAATAAAGAAATGGGCCGAGTTCAACCACAGTCCATTGACTCCCATTGACCTGGAGATGAGACAGAGATGAGGAAGGGCTGGTTGGTCCAAAGTGTGGTGAGACCTAAGGACACTTGAGCCCATGGACAAAGACATAGCCACAGAGGGCTAGAGATGAAAGTGAAGCATCCAACTGATATGAAGTGAGGGGAGATGCACAAGAACACTCAAACTTGCAGACAG